ATGGTCCAATAAAAACAATTGCTTGAAAGAACGTTGTACTCGTACTGCAAACGCTGAAGCACAGCTCCTCACAAACCAGTCTTTTACCTCACAGGAGGGATTCGCCTTGTTTTTGTCTTTGGGATCCAGTGCCTTCTGCAAAGAGCTGCGAGCTGCCGCACCACCGTCCTCTCTCCCTGCCTCCTGCCTTTTCTGCTGCTGCAGCTGCTCTGCCTCCTGTCGGTCCTTTTCTTCAAGTTGTTTCCGAACCTCAGCTTCTTCGTATCTAGTTGAAAGAGGGAGTCAAGGTCTTCGCGTGATTGTGGAAAATCAAGGGAGTCCCAGTTTCAGAACACAGTGCCCAGCTAGTCATGTCTACATACTCGCTCCCTCGAACTGAGACCTGACTGTCTGTGTGCTGTTCTAAGCCACGGCTCCGAAATGGGCCCTGGGAAGCCAACTAGAGACGTACTTCAAATTGCCCCCACATTTGGAAAATGATTTGCTCTCACACGGAAGCGACTTAATGCTCATCTCACTACTACCTCAATGTTTGACCAGTGATTCAAATCTCCTGCAGTCTCATTTCATCCTCTGCAAAATAATCCAAATATCATACTTGTGTTAATGATTCAGAGTAAAAATGTTTAAATGAAAATTCAAAACCGTGTTACCACCAACACACACACAGACACAGACACAGACACAGACACACACACACACACACACAAATCCAATGGATGTGCTGTACCAAGGTAACCAAGTTAAATTTTTGCTATGGGTGAATTCATTGGAATTTCCAATTTGTTGGAAATTCAATAGCTATTGTACCCTATAGGCAGCAGATTTTAGTCAATATTTACTATTGCCAATAGGAATGCTGGTTATCAGGGACTGCCAACCTTGCTTGCCTACCAATGCCTGAGTTTCAAATGAAAAAAGACGCCAGGTCTTGTTTCTCGGGTACCTCTGATGGACTTCTAGCTCTAACCGCCAAAGACCTTAAATCTTTGCAACACCCAGGAGCTCTATCAATATTTGTACGACTGCAATCAAGATCCAAGCTATTGATATTTATGAGATGCAGTTTCAGCAGTGCTTTGTTGTTGTTAGGCGCCATCAAGCCTGTTACCATAATTCTTAGCTACACTAAGAACACAGAAGTAAACCCTGCTCAGTCCGATGCCATCCTCACAACTGTTAGGGCTGAGCCCACTGTTGCAGCCACGGAGTCAATTCACTTTGCCAAGAGCCTTCCTATTTTCGCTGTCCCCCCACCTCACCAAGCACGATGTCCTTCTGCAGGGACTGATCTCTCCTGCAGAGGGTAGGCTAACTGACTGCCCTGAAAGCATTATCCACTGGCTAGATGGCAAACTTTATTCAGTATTATTTACAGTTGTACTCGGTTGCAGATGCATGAAGCGCTAACATTCACACACCTCACCTACTTCAGCAACCCGACTTCTGTGGCATGGCAGCATGGATAAAGTAACACCACACAGTGAAAGCACTTTCTGTCTGTGATGAATTTAGCCCCCACTGCAAAAGGAATGTCAATTGCGTTGCATAAAGCATGTCTACATAATTGTGCCAGATAAATAGCTGTTATTAATGCCTTGTTTTCCATTGAACGCACACTACTTAATAAGTGTAGGAATTTTATGTTTACCACGTGAGTCTTGCAACACTGAAGATATTTGAATATCATTCATGATGGTAATTTCTGTCTAAAAGAGCTTAAAGGTAAGGAACAATGTTTTTGGGATCAGACCCTCCCCCCATACACACACACAAATGGCCACACTGTAATAAACATTGTGACATGTTAAAAACAACCAAACAAACCAGAAGCAGCAAACCCCACACACACCACCCCCCACCCCCAAAGTACATAGGAGAGAAAATGATAAGCTCTACTAGGGGAAAAAAAAGAATCAGTCTTGTAATTAGAACTGCTGGGCTGAAACCCAAGGCTTATCTTTGTCACCCAAACTAATTATATTTTAAGCTTTAGGTGAATGACTTGTCACTCATTTAAACAGTAAGATTACAGTAAGGAGCCCTGATGTTGAAATGGTTATGAGTTGGGGTGCTAACTGCAAGGTTGGCAGTTTGAAACCACCAGTCACTCTGTATGAGAACGATGGGGCTTCTCACTCCAGTAAAGACTAACAATTTGGGAAACTCACAGGATTAGTTCTACCCTGTCCTATAAGGTCACTTGTGAGTCAACATGATGGCAACGATGGAGTCAAATATGACTTATGAAATGTGCTCAACTGAACAACCTCTTTGTAAAATTAGAAAAATAGGCAGGATTTAATCAGTCTATTTAGATGGCTTGGTGCATATATGTGACTTGCATATATCTTAATTATCAGAAACTCACAGGGGCAGTTCTACTCTGTATTATAAGGTCGCTATGAGGGGGAATAGACTCGATGGGAATAATTTTTTTAAAGATAAATCTTCTAAATTAGCTGAATCTAATTGCTGAGAGTGGGTTCACACTGAGGAAAAAGACAAGCAGTCCTAGACACAACAAAAAGTATCAAACATTGTAGCAAAAGGAATCAAACATTGTAGCTAGTGACAATCTAGTCACTGATGAAAGAAGAGAGGGGCTGCCAAGAATTGAGGATTGCAAAGTGCTTCTATCCATCCTAAAATGATTAGGAATTTGGAAAGGTATTTATTAATAACAGAGACTATTACTATTTATTTAGCTCTATGTATCTTTTATGTAAGGACAGTCTTTGTGGTTTAACTTGCAGTTTTAAGAGGACATTGGAGAATGTTTGAAAGAACACTAAAGAGAATCTTAAAATACTACACATTTAAAAAAGATCAATATACCAAGATTAAAAAAAGACAAAAGTAAATGACAACTTCACATAGGATTTATAAATAGATGCTTCAGTACACTACCTCTACTAAAATAATATTTAGTGTTAGAGTCTCAAATATCCAACAGGATAACAATTACTTGATGGCAATTTCTCTATGGCACCATGTGAAAACTGACAATAGAACGGCAAATGGGTATCACTACTTGTATCTCTCAAGGGATTCTCAACAGATATTTCTGCCTGTCTCACAGGTCCACATCTATCTCACTATTCCAACAGAAATGAGAGACTTACCACAAAGTACCAAATAGGGCAAATTTTCTTAACTGGCAAAAACTGGCCCCTTCAATACAAATTTTAAAATTTCTGGAAAGAAGCGTATCACAGAACAAGAATGCTTTCACTGTTAGAAACACAACTCATAATCATGGCAAACACTTTTTGTTTGTGCCAGTAACTTACCTGTTTATATGTACTCATGTACTTAATATACTCATCCACTCTCTTATTTTATTATTAGCCCTACTTACAGATGAGAAAACTGACAATAGGGAGAGTAAGTAATTTGTCCAAGAGCACACACTTAGTAAGTGGGAAGATCAGGATTCAACCAAGGAGCCTGCCTCTGCACACTTCCATACTTTTCTTAGGCGTTCTTAGGAGCCCCTGTGGTACAGTGGTTAGGTGCTGGGCTGCTAAGGGAAAGACTGGCAATTTGAGCCCGTCAGTAGCTCCTTAGGAGAGAAGGCCTGGTGCTCTCCTCTGGTAACGATTACAGCCTAGGAATACCATAGGGCAGTTCTACTCTGTCTTACAGAATCTCTAAGTCAAAACTGACTTGATGCCTAAGTTAATTTTCAATTTATCACCAACAAACACCAAGTTCATTTACATTTTGTAACTGGTGAGTTACAAATGAATTTCAGTCAGAGATTCAAAGAAAAAATTCAGGCATTTACTTAGTTTGAGTTACTGTGATCAAAAAGTTCACATATCCCAAACCAAGTTTTAATTTTCTCTGTCTCTCAAAGATCCTATACTGTCCTGTGCTGGCTGCTGCGTTGAATACAGAAAGATCCTAACATTGGCTAAATCTTAAGACTCAATCATTTGTGTCTCATGATACTGATGATGCCTTAAATATAATTCATGAGGCCAACATGAATTACAAAAAGCCTTTGATTACAAGGGCCCTGTCAAATGGGTTTTTGGTACTAATTATATTTTAAAAGCTCACAGACAACCTTCTCTTTCTCTTAGCCCACAGAAAGCAAACAACCAGTAATAAAAAAATAAATTAGAAAATTTACCAATTGACATAAAGCTTACATTTTTGACATAAAGCTTACATTTATGTATGATACATTCTTATAAAATACGAGGGGGAAGTGGTTCTGGGAAGATAGTGCTGAGGTGACAGCAACCACATTGGGAACTTCCTAAGTGCTGGATTGCGGGGGCTAGGAGGCTGAGTGCGGGGTCAGAGAGGCGCATGTGGGTCTTACCGACACACCAGTGCTCTGTCCTGGTGCATGGGCTGTTCTGCCATGCCCTCTGTCCCGCAGTTCTGTTCTGCCTTGCCAATCCGTCCACCCAAGCCAAAGTGCAGCTTGTGGCCTAAAACCCCACCCACACTAACCAGACCAGCTTGTGCTGTCTGTCCCACCCCCGATTCGCGGTTGTGGCGTGGGTCTTGCTGCTCGTTGAGCTCTTGTAGCATAGGGTACCCTGGCCCCTTGCAGCACACCGGGAGAAAGCCAGAGAGCTCTGCCCGACTTGCAAGGCCTGTAGAGCTGGTGGATCTGGCCGCCCTGATCCTAGAAGTCCAAGCTACAGGTGCTGCCCAGGACTCAAGCCTACGACAGGTCCCACGCCGTTGCCAACACTGCCAGTACACCTGGAGTGGCCTGTGGGTGGAAGTCCTAGTCAGTGGTCCCTGAGCAAATCATGCACACAGTGCAGCAAGTTACTCATGTCTGCAGCTCACTCTGCTCCGCCCACTTGAGGCACCAGTGTCACATTCTGCCCATGGCCCGGCCACCGCAGCCCAAACCAGAGACACACTAGCCACACATGGTCCTGACTAGCCCAATCCACAGTGCTGCCTGCACCACACATAAAATACCACCTCCAGCAACACCAAAAATGCTGTGTAAACGACAACTCACATCAGCAGTCACTACAAGAAAGCAAGAGAAACAAATTGCAATGTCTGAAGAAAATCTGAACTTAATGACGTATATAGAAGAAGCAGGCCTTGAACCACCACAGGAAAAAGTCTCTGGAACGCTGCTCAGAGTCATTTAGGATATGAGGGAATCAATACAGAAGAAGGATGAAAAACTAGAGAGGATAAGGTCCACTTATCAACGGGAAGATGCAGCAGAAGTAAAGCACATGGTAAAAGATCTTACCAACAGGTTGGAGGAAGTGG